CTGCAGGCCTTTCTAAACAGGCTCTCCCCAGCCTTCCTGTAGGCTCCCTTCAGGTACTGGAAGGCTGCTATTAGGTCTCCCCGGAGCCTCCTCTTCTCCAGGCTGAACAACCCCAGCTCCCTCAGCCTGTCCTCGGAGCAGAGGTGCTCCATCCCCCTCATCATCCTCGTGGCCCTCCTCTGGACCCTCTCCATCAGGTCCATGTCCTTCTTCTATTGAGGGCTCCAGACCTGCACACAATACTCCAGGTGAGGTCTCACCAGAGCAGAGTAAAGTGGCAGAATCCCCTCTCTGGACCTGCTGGCAACGCAGCTTTTGATGCAGCCCAGGATGTGACTGCCCTTCTGGGCTGCAGCTGCCCACTGCCTGCTCATGTCCAGCTTCTCCTCCACCAGCACCCCCAGTTCTCCTCTGCGCCTCTCGGCAGCCCCCCACGACGGTGAGGGGTCCCGGAGACCCCACAGAGCCTGCCCCACAGAGCCCACATCACCACCCAGACGCCCGTTTGCACGCACACCCCCAGGTCCCACAGCACGCCCCGCTCGCACTTTAAAGCCTGACTCTTAATTAAAAACCGCAACAACAACAAAAAAAAAGAAGAGAAGAAAAATCCTCTGCCTTGAGGCACCGACATTCCCAAACCCTGACGGGAGTGCTGACATCTCCCAGACATCACCACGGATCAGTGATAACCCCCCAGCCCAGCTCTCCAGCCTCCCAGGGGGGAAAAAAGGGTGACATCTACGAAATTCTACAAACAAGCCAAACCGTGGCCACCCCAAAAGCCAGCCAGAGGCAAGCAGAATGTCCCAGTTGATCTGGAAGTGCTCCCCAGCACTGACGACCCCGTGGCAGCACAGCCCACCTCACCCCTCAGCACCCAGCCACAGGAGTTTTTGGGGGGCATTAAGGACACCCCGACGGCTGCCACCCCCCAACTTGGCACCGCACCTGAGTTAGAAGCGGCCCCCGGATGCGCCGCAGGACGGCCGAGCTGTCCCAGATGCTGGAATTCAGCCCTCCAGGCTGCTGGAAAAAGAGATGAGGAGTCAGCGTGGCCGCTGGCCAGGTCAAACAACCCAACCCTGACCCCCCCCCCCCCGGGGGGTCCCACCTGAGCGGGGACCCTGGTTTGCACAGCCTGCATGATGGCGGGGTCCTCCAGCTCGCTCTCGATGACCAGCCTGGTCAGCCTCTCCGCCAAGGTGTCCTCAGGTTCTCCCAGCAGATCCCCCTCCTCGCCAGCGGGTCCATCCTGCTCCCTCCTGGCCACCGGCTTGTCCTCCAGCTCCGCCAGCCGCTCGTGGGCCTCCTGCCAGTCGTCGTCTGCCAGGGGGGGAAAACACCGTCAAGGGGTAGGGAAGGCACCGTTGGGGTGGGGAGATGGGAGTGTGGGGGGGAGATGGGGGGAAGAGAGGGGAAAGATGGAGGGGAAAAGGGGAAAGATGGAGGGGAAAAGGGGAAAGATGGAGGGGAAAAGGGGAAAGATGGAGGGGAAAAGGGGAAAGATGGAGGGGAAAAGGGGAAAGATGGAGGGGAAAAGGGGAAAGATGGAGGGGAAAAGGGGAAAGATGGAGGGGAAAAGGGGAAAGATGGAGGGGAAAAGGGGAAAGATGGAGGGGAAAAGGGGAAAGATGGAGGGGAAAAGGGGAAAGATGGAGGGGAAAAGGGGAAAGATGGAGGGGAAAAGGGGAAAGATGGAGGGGAAAAGGGGAAAGATGGAGGGGAAAAGGGGAAAGATGGAGGGGAAAAGGGGAAAGATGGAGGGGAAAAGGGGAAAGATGGAGGGGAAAAGGGGAAAGATGGAGGGGAAAAGGGGAAAGATGGAGGGGAAAAGGGGAAAGATGGAGGGGAAAAGGGGAAAGATGGAGGGGAAAAGGGGAAAGATGGAGGGGAAAAGGGGAAAGATGGAGGGGAAAAGGGGAAAGATGGAGGGGAAAAGGGGAAAGATGGAGGGGAAAAGGGGAAAGATGGAGGGGAAAAGGGGAAAGATGGAGGGGAAAAGGGGAAAGATGGAGGGGAAAAGGGGAAAGATGGAGGGGAAAAGGGGAAAGATGGAGGGGAAAAGGGGAAAGATGGAGGGGAAAAGGGGAAAGATGGAGGGGAAAAGGGGAAAGATGGAGGGGAAAAGGGGAAAGATGGAGGGGAAAAGGGGAAAGATGGAGGGGAAAAGGGGAAAGATGGAGGGGAAAAGGGGAAAGATGGAGGGGAAAAGGGGAAAGATGGAGGGGAAAAGGGGAAAGATGGAGGGGAAAAGGGGAAAGATGGAGGGGAAAAGGGGAAAGATGGAGGGGAAAAGGGGAAAGATGGAGGGGAAAAGGGGAAAGATGGAGGGGAAAAGGGGAAAGATGGAGGGGAAAAGGGGAAAGATGGAGGGGAAAAGGGGAAAGATGGAGGGGAAAAGGGGAAAGATGGAGGGGAAAAGGGGAAAGATGGAGGGGAAAAGGGGAAAGATGGAGGGGAAAAGGGGAAAGATGGAGGGGAAAAGGGGAAAGATGGAGGGGAAAAGGGGAAAGATGGAGGGGAAAAGGGGAAAGATGGAGGGGAAAAGGGGAAAGATGGAGGGGAAAAGGGGAAAGATGGAGGGGAAAAGGGGAAAGATGGAGGGGAAAAGGGGAAAGATGGAGGGGAAAAGGGGAAAGATGGAGGGGAAAAGGGGAAAGATGGAGGGGAAAAGGGGAAAGATGGAGGGGAAAAGGGGAAAGATGGAGGGGAAAAGGGGAAAGATGGAGGGGAAAAGGGGAAAGATGGAGGGGAAAAGGGGAAAGATGGAGGGGAAAAGGGGAAAGATGGAGGGGAAAAGGGGAAAGATGGAGGGGAAAAGGGGAAAGATGGAGGGGAAAAGGGGAAAGATGGAGGGGAAAAGGGGAAAGATGGAGGGGAAAAGGGGAAAGATGGAGGGGAAAAGGGGAAAGATGGAGGGGAAAAGGGGAAAGATGGAGGGGAAAAGGGGAAAGATGGAGGGGAAAAGGGGAAAGATGGAGGGGAAAAGGGGAAAGATGGAGGGGAAAAGGGGAAAGATGGAGGGGAAAAGGGGAAAGATGGAGGGGAAAAGGGGAAAGATGGAGGGGAAAAGGGGAAAGATGGAGGGGAAAAGGGGAAAGATGGAGGGGAAAAGGGGAAAGATGGAGGGGAAAAGGGGAAAGATGGAGGGGAAAAGGGGAAAGATGGAGGGGAAAAGGGGAAAGATGGAGGGGAAAAGGGGAAAGATGGAGGGGAAAAGGGGAAAGATGGAGGGGAAAAGGGGAAAGATGGAGGGGAAAAGGGGAAAGATGGAGGGGAAAAGGGGAAAGATGGAGGGGAAAAGGGGAAAGATGGAGGGGAAAAGGGGAAAGATGGAGGGGAAAAGGGGAAAGATGGAGGGGAAAAGGGGAAAGATGGAGGGGAAAAGGGGAAAGATGGAGGGGAAAAGGGGAAAGATGGAGGGGAAAAGGGGAAAGATGGAGGGGAAAAGGGGAAAGATGGAGGGGAAAAGGGGAAAGATGGAGGGGAAAAGGGGAAAGATGGAGGGGAAAAGGGGAAAGATGGAGGGGAAAAGGGGAAAGATGGAGGGGAAAAGGGGAAAGATGGAGGGGAAAAGGGGAAAGATGGAGGGGAAAAGGGGAAAGATGGAGGGGAAAAGGGGAAAGATGGAGGGGAAAAGGGGAAAGATGGAGGGGAAAAGGGGAAAGATGGAGGGGAAAAGGGGAAAGATGGAGGGGAAAAGGGGAAAGATGGAGGGGAAAAGGGGAAAGATGGAGGGGAAAAGGGGAAAGATGGAGGGGAAAAGGGGAAAGATGGAGGGGAAAAGGGGAAAGATGGAGGGGAAAAGGGGAAAGATGGAGGGGAAAAGGGGAAAGATGGAGGGGAAAAGGGGAAAGATGGAGGGGAAAAGGGGAAAGATGGAGGGGAAAAGGGGAAAGATGGAGGGGAAAAGGGGAAAGATGGAGGGGAAAAGGGGAAAGATGGAGGGGAAAAGGGGAAAGATGGAGGGGAAAAGGGGAAAGATGGAGGGGAAAAGGGGAAAGATGGAGGGGAAAAGGGGAAAGATGGAGGGGAAAAGGGGAAAGATGGAGGGGAAAAGGGGAAAGATGGAGGGGAAAAGGGGAAAGATGGAGGGGAAAAGGGGAAAGATGGAGGGGAAAAGGGGAAAGATGGAGGGGAAAAGGGGAAAGATGGAGGGGAAAAGGGGAAAGATGGAGGGGAAAAGGGGAAAGATGGAGGGGAAAAGGGGAAAGATGGAGGGGAAAAAGCCATGTCCCCCAGCCATGTCCCCTACCCCCTGCCATGTCCCCTACCCCCAGTATGTCCCCAGCCATGTCCCCCATTCCCAGCTGTGTCCCCTGTCCATATCCATGTCCCCCGGATGTGTCCCCTGTCCCCCAGGCAGTGCCCCCAGCTGTGACATCTGTCCCCAGCTGTGTCCCCTATCCATGGTTGTGTCCCTCAGCTGTCCCCAGTCCCCAGCTGTCACCCTCCCTCTGTGACCACTGTCCATGGTTATGTCCCACCTGTGTCCCCTACCCCCAGCTATGTCCCCCAGCTGTGTCCCCTATCCCCCAGACATGTCCCCTCCAGTTGTGACCCCTACCCATATCCGTGTCCCTCAGCCATGTCCCCTACCCCCAGCCATGTCCCCTCTCCCCACTTATGTCCCCCAGCCATGTCCCCTACCCCCAGCCATGTCCCCTGTCCCCACTTATGTCCCCCAGCCGTGTCCCCTCTCCCCCCACAGCCCCCCATGGCAGGGGAGGCCACGTCGTTGGCGCGTGATCCCCGTGGGGGACCCAGCTTCCTCATGGGGCCACCCCACATCCGCCCCCAGCCTGGCTGCCACCTCCGAGGAGGGGGTGACCGGTGACACCCCCAGCCCCGTCGCCTTTAACGGGGACCGGTGTGTGTGTGTGTGTGTGTCCCCAGCCCCGGGTTGTCCCAGGTGAAGGGTGGCTCCACCTCGTCCCCTCCCCTCGGCGCCTTCCTGCCTTCCTTGTGCCTGTCACTGGGGATTAGCGAAGGGCCAGCCCCGGGGCTCGGGGACAGGGAGGGTGACAGGGCCACCCGCCACCTCGGCTGGATGTAGGAGGCCCAGCCGGAGTCCCCCCCATCCCTGCGGTGGGCGAGGACGGGGACCCCCACCCCCGTACCCCACCAACCCTCGGGGCCACCATGAAGGACCGGCTGGAGCAGCTCAAGGCGGTGAGAGACCCTTGGGGAGGGAACAAGGGACACCTGGTGGGGTGGGTGGGGGTCCCCAGGGCTCGCTGGGACACTCATCCCCCCGGGAGCTGGGTGACACGGGGATGGGAGTCCCTGGGACCCCACCTCGAGGTGCAGGGGGGTGACATGGGGGGCTCTGCGACCCAGGTCCGTGGTGGGTGAGGGACGTCGTGGGGATGGATGTCACCAAAATCCCACCCCGCGGTGCCCTGGGGGGTGTCACGGGGATGGGGGGGTCCCCGAGATGGGGACAATCGTGGGGAGGGATGTCACCAAGACACCCCCAACCCATGGTCCACCAGCGGTGCCGTGGGGATGGGGGTCCCTGAAATGGGGACATGGTGGGGATGGGGGCACCGTGGAGATGGGGGGGCCCAAGAGCCAGCCCCACAGCAATGGGGGGGGGTCAGACAGAAGGGGCTGGTG